GAGTTGCGGGAGTTTGCAAAGAGGTCGATGGAATGGGGACCCCAACGTCGTTCTAAGATGCGGAACCACGGCGTCTTCAACGAGTAGTCGTCATGATCGACTGCTTTTGAGAGCTCATCGGCGTGTGAGTTTAGCTCGCGTGGGATCCATTCGATGATTAGACGCGTGCCGTGCTCCATGCATGTCCGAATGATGCCTTGGCAGGCCGTGGTAAGGTCGGGGCTGCGCGAGCCACCTTTGCGAAGGATGAAGAAGACGCCCTGATTGTCCACCCGCACAAGAACATGTTTGTGCGTGATCTTGCTGGAGTATGTTTGGAGTGCCCAAAGCACTCCTTCGATCTCCCGCCGTGTGCTTGACGTCGCTCGCAGCGGCTCTGTCATTGTTGCGCTAGCTTCTTCGAGGCCGCCAGGGAATGTGGTCAAAGTGGCGCCCCAACTGTGAGCGCTAGCATCCACATGGATTACAGCATCGTAGCTGTTTCGAACGTGAAACGGTGCACCGTTGAACCTATCGAACTCTTCGAGCCAGAAGTTGAGCTCCTCGGCCGCGGGTGGGGGGATGATCACACTGCTTTTCCATGAAGGTGCGTCATTGATCACTTGTAGCATGGCGTGGCTGAAAGCACGAGCTGTTGCGCCCAGCGCGACGCCCATTGACGCGAGCATGCCTGTGATTCTGGCCACTTGGCAGGCTGAGACGGGTCGACATGCCTCGCTTGCGCTCAACAGGTTCCGAATGGTTGCATGTAGTGAGGCTCGTCGTTCGGGACCGATGGTAAATCGACCGGTGGCCGTGTCTAGCTCCACACCCAAGAATCGAAGGTGTTGCGATGGTGACAGCTGTGATTTCTTCGCGTTTATCACCAAACCCGCTGCTTTAAGGTCCAGTATTACACGGTGGCAAGTGGCCTGCGCGTGGGCTTTTGACTGGCAAAGGAATAAGATGTCGTCCACGTATGGTACTACTCGAATGCCTTGCTCCCGCCAGCGACGGGCTAGCTGCTTGATAAGTTGCGTGAAGACGAATGGGGCTGTCGCAAGACCGAACGGCAGTGAACGAAAGGAGTAAGTGCGCCCATCGAATCCAAATCCGAGAAACTTCCAGCATGAGGGATGAATGTCGATGTGATGGTACCCGGATTTGAGATCAATAGAAAACATCCAATCCCCAGCGCGTGCCACGTCTGCCACGCGGCTGAGTCCTTCATACTTGAATTTTGGAACGATGAGGTTTGCGTTGACTTTTCTCAGGTCGAGGATGAGCCTGCATTTTTCTCTCTGCTCGACCACGTTGAGTGGGCTTATGCACGTAAGCTCGCTTGCGGCTGTCTCGACTGCAGCTCCGGTCTCTGTGAGTTCTTGGATGGCAGTACGTGTGAACGTAGTATGCGCGTATGCACCAGCGTGGTTACGCTCCCGGAAGGCCTGTGGTGGACCGTGGCTCCATGGAAGCCAGTAACCGTTGGCGATTATGGATAGGACGAGGCTGCAAGGGCACCATGAGCTCCACCACGCAAAGGTCGAGCGAAGCCGACCGCACATCCGTGTGACGGTTTTGTCCGTGACGGCGAATTCGTACGGGCCATCGTCGCGAGGCACCTCGTATTGATGTGCTCCTGTATGTACGACAAGGAAATGAACGGGACCAATCAAGTTACACGCCTTAATTAGTGAATGCGTGTGACATACACATGCATGCGCGAAAGATGAACCGTCAACAGTGAGAACCATACGGACGGTTTGTCATCATTCCATATAGGGCGTCCGATCGCACCTTTGCAAACTCTTTCCCATACTCTCTCCTGTCCCCTCCCCTCTTTTTTTTTTTTTTTTTTTTTTACCTTGCTGTAGGATTGATGCTTGGAACCATGATCATGCTTCCCTCTTGATCGCTCTCTCTCTGTCTCTCTCCCTCTCTCTCTCTCTCTCTCTCTCTCTCTCTCTCTCTCTCTCTCTCTCTCTCACTCTCGCTCTCTCTCTCCCTCTCTTTCTGTGTGTGTTTTCATTATTGTTAGAGCATTTGCATGCTTCGCTTGCCATGGGCTTGTGCCTTTCCGCGCGTGCCTTCACTTGGGCTAGGCGACCTCGCTATGCCCCCCCTCTCTCGCCCTTGTTGGTTGTTCAAAAGTTGAACCACAGCTGCCCATCCTTGTAATGCATGGTGGCGGTTTGAGGAACGTGCGTACTCTCATTTTCTCCCTCTCCCCTTCTCCTCCTCGCGTTTCGCCCCCACCCTTTTGTTTCTTGTTTTTTTTTTTTTTTTTTTATCCTTCACAAACCAGAGGGGGCCTTAAATAAAATCCCTATCTCTCATGGTCATACATTGTCATGCCTACTAGCATGCTTCTCATCCCATCAATTGGGGCATACGGGGGACCGAGAGGCATTCTTCCTCTTCCCCAAATCTAGGCCTACGGCCATACTTTATTACCCTATCCTAGGGGACCGAGAGGCATTCTTCCTCTTCCCCAAAGCTAGGCCTATGGCCAAATTCTACCACCCTATCCTAGGGCTGGCCACGTCTACCGCAAGCCCTACTAGGCTGCCCACGGTCTAAGCACTCAAGAGTGCACCGTGCATCGCGCCTAGTGGCGCGCTTCACCATAGCCCGACCCCTACACAACCGGTGCGGGTCCTTGGCCCCCATGCCCATTCCGAGGGCAGGCATTGGCGACGTGGCCAGGCTGGCCGCAGCGGAAACACGAACCACGAAAGCCTTGGAAGTTGCCCGAGGTTGGAGGGCCACGTTTTGGAGCGAACGCCGTGGCGCCGTGGTTTCCACCACGGTGGGAGCGAACGTGAGCGCTCGCCGCTCGGTCCATGGCAGCCACGTCTGCGACGGCTTGCTTGAACGGCCGTGAGGTGAGAAGACTTTTCTGCAGGTACATTTTGTAGCGCTTGGCCATGCGGTCGTCGGCGGCGTCTTCGACTTGAAACATGTCGAAGCGCGCGGAAATGTCGTCGAGGGCGGTGACGACCATTTCGAGTCCGCCCCCCAAGTCGCCGTGCTGCAGCTTGTACTCTGCGTGTTTCAGGTAAGCCCGCATGTCCTCCAGAATTTCCGCTTTCGCCCGCACGTGCTCGTCGTTGAACGTCGCCGCCGACCAAGTGGTGTTAGTAGTACGTGCACGTGCTTTCCGAGGCTGCAGTCAACCCGAACCTCAACAGCTGGTCTGACGACAACGGAAACGAAAACATGGATCTGTGCTCGGGCATCTGGGGCACCGAATACCTCTCTGATGACAGCCCCGCTGTACAGTACAACGCCGTGGGTGTAGACGATTATAGGTTCTTTCTTCCGACGAATTTAAATCCGAGCACGGGCTATTGCATGAATGGGCTGTCGGTGCTACCTGGGGCGTGTGGGAAGGACCTGTTTAATTACCCGTGTGATACGGGTGGGATATAGGGTGGCTGGTTTTGATACGTCTCAAAACTTTGAGACGTCTTAAAACTTGATGCCTGGGGCGTGTGGGAAGGACTTGTTTAACTACCCGTGCGATACGGGCGGGATCTAGAGTGGCGTTAGCAACGGGGTGATTCAGGACAATGGGTTGCTTTACCAAATGCAATACTTACTAAATAGGATGCACTCTTGGGATAGACTGACTCTCATTGTACGGTATTTGTGTATTTTAAAGCTGTCTGCAGTGTTGTTCAGTTGGGTATCTTTACTATTGTATTCCGGTGTTATAAAGAGCTCCTGTAATCTAAAAATGTACGGTGTTACCATTGCAAAGTACCAGTAGATACTGGTGTAGGATGGAACTTATGACAAGTTGCTTATGGCTTGCCTTGCCAGGCATCCAAATAATGCCAGATTTATCAAATTAGAGAGAGAAAGGAAACAAACAGAAGAAATTAGTAGCACTAGACTGGGAAGCAAAATCTCAAACAAGCTATGATTCCCATAGCCGATCTTTGAGGCGCGTCAAACTCAATTCCCCTTGCTCACACCACCAACCTTTCAACAACCCCTCTCCCAACCCATCAGTGTTACCCTTCCATCTAGTCACATCAGTCCTACCTACCCTCTCTTCCCGTACCCGCCGCGGCTCTTGTCCTGTGACCCATCAGCCAGCATCTAAAAATTGCGGCCCTTCTGCTTCTCCTTGCTCGCCTGCTGCATGTGAGCCATCTGCTGCTTCCAATCCAACGCATCAAAGCTACGGTACCATCTCCCATCATCACTACCCTCTCGTACCATACCCGCCACAGCTCTTGTCCTGTGAGCCATCAGCCAGCATCCTGAAAATGCTTTCCTTCTGCCGCTCCTTGCACCACCAAACCTTTCAGTGCCTGCAGCAAACCACTGCCCACCCAGAAGCACCACCCTCCATCTGGTCACCTCTGCTCTGCTATCTCTTCCCATGCCCGCCACGGCTCTTGTCCTGTGAGCCATCAGCCAGCATCTTCAAAATTCGATCCTTCTGCTTCTCCTTGCTCTTTTGAGACGTCTCAAAAAGCTTCCCAGCCCATCACCACTGCTATCTCTTCCCATACCCGCCACGGCTCTTGTCCTGTGGCCCATCAGCCAGCATCTTCAGAATGCGGCCCTTCTGCTGCTCCTTGCTCTTTTATGACATCTCAAAAAGCTTGCCAGCCCATCACCACTGCTATCTCTTACCCGCCACGGCTCTTGTCCTGTGACCGATCAGCCAGCATCTTCAGAATGCGGCCCTTCTGCTGCTCCTTGCTCTTTTATGACATCTCAAAAAGCTTGCCAGCCCATCACCACTGCTATCTCTTCCCATACCCGCCACGGCTCTTGTCCTGTGGCCCATCAGCCAGCATCTTCAGAATGCGGCCCTTCTGCTGCTCCTTGCTCTTTTATGACATCTCAAAAAGCTTGCCAGCCCATCACCACTGCTATCTCTTCCCATACCCGCCACGGCTCTTGTCCTGTGGCCCATCAGCCAGCATCTTCAGAATGCGGCCCTTCTGCTGCTCCTTGCTCTTTTATGACATCTCAAAAAGCTTGCCAGCCCATCACCACTGCTATCTCTTCCCATACCCGCCGCCACGGCTCTTGTCCTGTGACCCATCAGCCAGCATCTTCAGAATGCGGTCCTTCTGCTTCTCCTTGTTCGCCAGTTGCATCTGAGCCATCTGTTGCTTCCAATCCAACGGCTTCCGCGGCCCCCCTGCTCCCCCACCCTGGCCCGTACCCCCTCCTCCTCCTGGGCGGCTGGGCATGCCCCCCCCACCGCCGCTGTAACCCCCCCCACCACCGTAACCCCCACCCCCACCCCCCCCACCACCACCACCACCACCACCACCACTGTAACCCCCACCACCACCGCTGTAACCACTACCACCACCACCACCATAACCACCACCCCCGCCACCACCACCGTAACCCCCGCCACCACCACCACCACCACTATAAGCACCACCGCCGCCACCACCAGCAGCAGGCCGCCTCACACCACCACCCCCATCTTGTCCCCCCGGCCTCTCCCCCACCCGCCTTGGCCCCCCCATTCCCCCTCCGCCTCCGCCTCCCCCTCCCCTGCCGTCACCCATTCCTCCTCCCCTCCCCCTCCCGTCCCCACCTCCCCGCTCCCTCCCATCCCTCACGTAACCCTGATCATTCCAATCATCCTCAGACATTGATTTGGGTCTCTGGCCCCTAACAGACATGGGACCAAAGGTATCCGTGTGGGGTTGGTACTGTCCCCCCATCCCCCCTCCCCCTCCCCCACCCCCGCCCCCGCCCCCACCCCCGCCCCCTCGTCCCCCTCCCCTTCCCCCTCGCCACTCCTCTCCCCCTCCCCCCGACCCCTCCCTCTGCCCGCCCCGTGGCAAATCCATATCATCTGCATAGTGAGTCGCCGACGGCCGAGCCTGCGGCTTAGGTCCGGGAGACGGACCTCCGGTGTCCCGACCTGGCACACGCATAGACTTGGAGCCCGCACCAAACACGTCCGGCCCGTCCCTACTTGGTCCCCCTCTCCCTGCTCCCCTTCCCCCAGGTCCCACTGCTCCTGTCGAAGCCCTTCGGCCAGTCTCTGCCGTTCCTCCTCCTCCCCCTCCTCCTCCCCCTCCTCCTCCTCCTCCCCCCTCCCATTCCCCAGCCCCTCCCCCTCTGCCTCGCCCTCCCCCGCCCCCCCTCATGTTCCCCCCGCCTTCCCCCATGCCACCCCGCCCCCCCTTACCTCTATCCCCCTCCCCAAACCACTCGTCGTCCGGAAAAGGTTTCTGCCGCGTGCCCCGGGCAGATAAAGGACCGAACCGGTCAGCCCGATGCTGCGCGTCCTGCTGCTGCTGCTGATGCTGCCGCATAGGGCTCACCGTAGAGAGTTCGTTCCCCCTCCCTCCTCCGTGCATGGGCAACCCATCATCATTAGCATCATCGGCACGGTGTGAATAAAGATCGCTGTCGCTCATATTGAATTGCACTGAAACGGATCGCCTGCTGCCAGGCTGCTGCGCGGACCCCCAAGATTGGCGAGAGGCAGTGGTGGTAACCGCGAGGGGTTCGGATTCGTTACGGGCGACTGATTGGTTCGTTTGGGGGGCGCCGCTCTGAAAGGACGGCAATAGACAGAACGAGACGAGACGGGACGAGAGGCGTTATGAGAAATGCGATTTTTTTGTTCGATGTAAGCGTATAATCAATGCGAGATTAGATGAGTGCAGCATTAAGATTGCGTGGTAATGCAGCCGCATGTAAGGAAGATGTACTGACTGACGCCATGCCATGGCTCTCATTTCAAGGGCAACAAGGGCGAATAGGGTACCCTAATTTTCATGTATGGTGTGGTGCTAGGACGATACTTGCACAGAAGTGGGGGGTTTGCCTCTGGTTGCATTTCGATAACAAGTAAAGAAGGCCTTCATAGTCACACCAACCAACCAACTAATAAGTTTTTTTTTGTTCTGTGTTTTTGTTTTTTTCCTTATCGTACCTCTTTTCATGTTCCATCATCTGCCGTATAAACTGGACTCAGAAGCCTTCCCAACCGCTCTCCTCTCTTCCCATGCATGTAAAAAATACCCCCCTCTCTTCCCCCTCACCACCCCCCTTATCCATACCTGCTTCTTGTCGTTATCTCCCCCCATCCGTACCTGTTTTTTGTCGTTATCTGGCAGCGAGTCTTTCAAAGTCAACGCCTCCACTCCGACTGCAGTTGCGCCCATCTGCCTTTAGATGCGCCCATCTGCCTTTAGATGCGCCCATCTGCCTTTAGATGCGCCTCAAAAGTCCACCCCAGTTCATCCCCGCCCCATCCGTACCTTTTTTTTGTTGTTATCTCACCCCATCCGTACCTGCTTTTTATCATTATCTACGCCCATCCGTACCTGCTTTTTATCATTATCTGCGCCCATCCGTACCTGCTTTTTGTCGTTATCTGCCAGAGTCAACGCCTCCACTCCGACTGCAGTTGCGCCCATCTGCGGAGACGGCTGCGCCCCTCGGGGGGAAAGCGGCGCCCCTATGGGGGAGGGACTGCGCATGCGCCTGGGGGTTCCGCCTTCCGCCTGACTCGCAGCACTTGTCTTTACTGCTGAACCCGAAGCTTCCTCCGCCTCCCATGCTGCCACCTGGCTGCCAGCAGAAGCTGCCACGTCAGCATCCAGCTGGCCTTGCTCCATCCCTTCTTCTCCCCATTCCTCGTCTTCCTCTCCCTCCGACGACTCTATGTCCTCGTCCACCCAGACCCCTTGTACTTTCTCCTCCTCATCCTCATCCTCCTCCTCCTCCTCATCATCATCACTATCGCTGTCGCTCACACTACTGTCGTCATCGCTGTCTCTCTCTTTTCCTTCCTCCCCCTCCTCCCTCGCTTTCTCCTCGACCCCCTCCGTGTCGTCCTCTTTCTCACCAAGCCCACTCCCACCGACAGCACCATCAGTCACAGCCCCCGCTGTCGCCGTCGCAACCGCCACTGCCGCAGCGGCAGCCGCAACAGTTTGCGGGTCTCTAGGAACCAGGCTCCCAGTCGCAAGCAATTTCCCTCCATATACCCCTCCTCCCCCCCCTCCCGTGCCCCCAACCGCTCCCCCTCCGCCTTCCACTTTCAGGCTCCTGCTACCCGTTGGCATGAGATTCTTTTCCGGTGCTGCCCGATCCGATTTTGTTTCAATCTGCCCGAAAGACTGCGCTCCGCTGGATAATACGGATCTGTCACCTGGCTTCCCCCTGCCCGCTCCTTTATTTGCAGACTGCCCGCCTGCGACAGCCTTCCGCTCTCGCGTTTCGCCGTCCTTCTTGGTCCTTGGTCGGTGTTCCTTCTTAGCATAATCACTGTCGCCCCGCGCGCGCTGCTCCTTTTTATAGGCCTTCTTTAACTCCTTCGATCTAGGAGCGTCTCGAACAAACGCCGTGGGCAGATCCTTAGGGAGCTCCCTTTTCGACTGCCCGAACAAACTTCCCGCAGCGTCGTTGATGCTTTCCTTGGCGCCAAGAAACACATTCTGGAGGAAAAGCCTCTTACTACCGCTGGTGGAACTTGCCACAGCAGCTGAGTTGGCGCCGGGATCATCCTCCACGTCAGCGTCCCACGTGGCAACCTCCACTTTATCGCTGAACCGCAGGCGCTTTTTCGGCTCCACGAGCTTGCCCGTGGCGCGTGCGCGTAGCTTACTGTAGCTCGATATGGCGGGCTTCAATCCGGGGTACTTCCGCAACTGCACGCGCGGGCGCGCCGGGCGCAAGCGCATACCTTTCCCGCTCCTCGCGCCCCTGCCTGCGGCGGCGGACTTAGCTGGCGGAGCTGCGCCAGGCCCCCCCCCGCCCCTTTGCGCTGGCGGAGCGGAAGTGCCGGAAGTTCCCCTAAGCGGCCGCGCTCTCCCGCGGCCCGCTGAGCTCCCGCCGCCGCCGCCAGTAGTGCTGGACGGGCCGCGCCGAGAGGCATTGCTAGTCATAGCGCTTCCCCCGGGATTGCGAACGGGAGAAGGACCAGCCGGGCCGCGCGAAGGCGGCGCACCAGCTGGACGCCTTCGAGGATCGTCCATTGGCTATAAAAAATTACCGGGATGCGATTCGAAGGAGGGTGACTTCGCAGCAGGAAGGTGTGCTTTAGGTCGAAGTGATTTCAAGGCGTATACAGAGGGGCCTGAATAATCAGGCAGGGTTAGGAGGAAAAGTATCTGCTGGCAAATGATAGGTGAGGACGTCACGTCCGTTTACCAGCAGTAAACGTCACGCGACAAGGCTACCTCTGCCACAAAAGTCGAATTCCACCAATATTATTGGCGCAGCACGGTGATGGAGAGGCAATGGTTGCATATATAAGTGAAGAGTGTTGAGTTTACAAATATGGAACCTCCGCTGCAGCATTCTGCCGGAGCATCAGGGACACGCAAGAGGCATTTGGACGGCGGGAGTGGCTGCAGCACCGTAGAGCAGCAGGGAATTCCCAAGACGAACAAATGATGCGCCTGAAATTGAAGGTCGTCGCTTCGCTTCTCGTTGACCTCTACGTCGTTTTGAAGTGTCGAGAGTTGTGGGTGGTGAGGTGAGGTGACCTGTTGCCTGCCATTGGCCGAATGCCCGGGCCACCGCCTTGGGATTGCCCACCTTTTGCCTCCAAGGGAGCTCGTCGTCACGTAATTCGTACAGAAATGCCGAAGCTGATATCAGCTTGGATGGCTCGGGAGTGGTCTCGATATCGACTCCTGACAATGATGGGGCTGGTTGGGATATCCGTCGATAGCCTCTGCCTGTTGTGGAATCCAACGGTTTAAAAGTTCCGGGCTCGAGGAAACAGAACCGAGCTGATTGGAGGAGTTGCATGACGCGTTTTCCCTGCTAGTTCGGTTCGGTGCCTGTCGTCACTCGGTCCGAAGCTGCGATTCCTCGATTTTCCGAGATCCAGCAACTGTACAATGGACAAATAGCCGGATAAGTTAGCACTTCGGCAGTGGTCCACATTTTGTTTTTTTAGTCAGCGCTTTCTATGATAGTAGAACTGAGTTTCTGTTTGGTCAACGCCCTATATATATTTTCTTAAAACAGTCAATAACGGATACATACATTTCTTTGCCTAAACCCTATGGTGTTCTACACTGAGTCACATGCCACATTGTGTGTCCGCTTTCAGGTCCATTCTGCACACTTATTTTATGCGGACACTTTCTATATGTATTTACCCTCCCCTATTGAATTCAGTGTGTAGCTATCTGGATTCTTTCACATCCATCTACCATTTGGTTCTCAGAATAGGAATGCAACGGAATGTTTGAAACTAGAAAGTGTGAGAGTACAAATATGCAACCCTAACAACTGTACTCCCTATTGTGCTACTCACTGTAGCCTACAAGCATAGAATTACATTTGACACATCCCCATAGGCTAAGTGAGGGGCATCAAAGCAAGCAAGGTGAACAAACGGTCACAAGACCAGTCAAAGCAAGAAACAAGGCAAGCTCAGGGTGGATCTCAAGGACACCACACAAATTCCGAGCGAAAGCAAGCGGCCACAAGGCCAGTTCAAGAGTTCACTAGGATATAAATAGGAAGCACAACAAGCAGAGCAAACAACAAGACTACAGCAACCGAGGGCCTACCTCAACAAGCCCCAACTGCACACGGAACCTGTGGTGATCACCAAGTGCCAAGGCCTTGGTGAAGACGTCTGCAGTGTTGGCCTCTGAGGCCACAAAGTCCAGGCGTGCCTGGCCGCGTCGCTGCAGCTCTCGCAGGAGGAAGTACCTCACGTCAATATGCTTCACTCTGCTCTCCAGTCGAGGCTCTCGACACAGGAGGATCATGGCCTTGTTGTCAGCGTACAAGGTCGGTGCAGAGCGAGGCCGCTCACCAAGGTCGGCGAGCAAGAAGGTCAACCAGCGAAGCTCCTGTGCCGCCATGGCACCAGCGTAGATCTCTGCCTCTGCACTGGAAGTAGCCACAGACGACGATCGTGTAGACCTCCACGACACAGCACCAGCTCCCAGACTGAAGCAGTAACCCTGAGTCGAACGCTGAGTCTCCACGTCGTCAGCGTAGGAAGAGTCGCAGTGACCAGTCAACGCCACTGGCTGAGTCCCTCCGAGCACAAGCCCCATGCCTGATGTAGTCGCCAGGTACTTCGCCACCCTCACAGCAGCTATCCAGTGGACAGGACGGTGTCTCCCAGTCGCAACAAAGCGAGAGAGGACGCTGAGGGGAAAGGCGAGGTCCGGCCGAGTACAAGTCATCAGGTACATGAGGCAGCCCACCAGCTCTGCGTAGGGACCACTGGACTCAAAAGGCTCGTCGGGAAAGGGGCCAGTGAGTCTGTGGTCAACAGCAAGAGGAGTGGGCTGTGTGGTGGAGAACTGGAAGTCGAACCGCCGAAGGACCTGCTGCACCATGTCTGACTGCGTCAGTGTGATGGTGCGAGCGGCTCTGTCCCGGGTGATCTGCAAGCCAAGGTAACGCTGCAGCTCACCCAGGTCAGTGCACTTGTGTCTCTTCTGCAGTTCGAACTTCACCTGAGCCAGGGCTGCCCTGTCTGCTGTAGCAAATACCAAGTCGTCGACGTAGACAAGGATAAAGAAAGGAGTAGAACCCGCTCGAACAAACAGCGACGGGTCGGCGGAGGACGGGCTGAACCCAAGGTCACGAAGCGTGGAGCGAAGAGTGTCGTGCCACTCACGGGGCGACTGGCGGAGACCGTAGACTGGTCGCCTCAGGCTCCACTGGGTCCCAGGTGGGAAGGTGTCAGTGAAGCCAGGAGGACGGCGCAGCCAGATCTCCTCGTGCAGTTGGCCCTGGAGGAACGCAGTGGAGAAGTCGAGGGAGTGCAGCTCGTAGTCTCGCTGCGCTGCTATGTGGAGTAACACCCGAAGAGTAGTCATCTTCGGGGTCGGGGCGAAGGTCTGGAAGAAGTCAACTCCCTCACGCTGACTGAAGCCCCTAGCCACGTAGCGCGCCTTGAACACCGGCGGTGCTCCAGGCGGCCGCTTCACCTTGAAGAGCCACATGCCATCGACTACGTTCGCCCTGGGAGGGGGAACTGCGTCGACGTAGGTGCCTGTGGATCTCCAAGACGCCAACTCTGAGTCCATAGCCGCTTTCCACTGAGAGGCCCACGCCCCTGACACTGCCTCGCGGTAAGTGCGAGGAGTCGGTATGTCAAGGGCGTCGGGGTCTCCCTCAGGGGAGAGCAGCATGGCACACACAGAGGGAGAAGCGGCTGCCCAGTACTCCAGCTCAGACTCTCTGTCCTCTAGGACGTCACAGCCAAGGGCAAACTCACCCCCGACGGACAGAGGACGGTAGGGAGGAGCTGGCACCACACGGGTGGCGTAGTCAAGGCGGCTGGCGGCAGCAAACTCAGCGACAGCGGCAGTGAGAGCAGAGACCGACGACGGAGGGAAACGAGAGTCGGTGACAAGAGTGGCGAGGACACGTGCGGCAACAGGACGAACAGTGCGGTAGTAGTCAGTGATAGGAGTGGGGAGGGCTGGGAGAGAGGACGGAGGAGGAGACGGGAGAACGGACACAGGAGAAGGAGAACGACGACGAGACGTACAAAGGAGGGCAGTGTGTAGGTCAGTAACAGGGGACGAGTGACGAGCACGCGGAGGACAACGAGTGACCAAGTCGCGACGGACCGAAGGAGGAGGAGACTGGGGAGGAGGAGAAGACCAGACCGCCGGACGGTCGTCAGGAGGAGGCAACGGAGGAACAAACACAGGAGGAGAGGAGGAAAAGCCAAGGGCCCGCAGGCCACTCACAGGTGGGAACAACTGCCGCTCCAGAGGAAGCTGCGGTGGCGGCTGCGGCTGCTGCTGCTACGGCGGCGGCTGCTACTGCGGCTGCTGCTGCTGCTGCTGCCGCTGCTGCTCTAAAAGGTCCAGCACCCGCAGCTCCTGCCGCTCCCTCTCCGACCGCTCCTGCTCCTCACGCTCACGCCGGCGGGCAGCCTGGAGTCGTGTGTCGTGGCGGTGGGGAGGCGGAGTGGACTCCGCAGAACCAGGGTCAGACTCCTCAGACTCAGCACCCCCAGAACCAGCACCTCCAGTGCCAGGACCTCCAACTCCAGCACCCCCAGAACTAGCACCACCAGTGCCAGCACCTCCAGCTCCAGCACCCCCAGAGCTAGCGCCACCTGCGCCAGCACCTCCAGCTCCAGCACCCCCAGAGCTAGCGCCACCTGCGCCAGCACCTCCAGCTCCAGCACCCCCAGAGCTAGCGCCACCTGCGCCAGCACCTCCAGCTCCAGCACCCCCAGAGCTAGCGCCACCTGCGCTAGCACCTCCAGCTCCAGCACCCCGCGACCGAGTACCCCCAGACCTAGCACCGCCAGTGGCTGCACCTCCAGCTCCAACACCAACCGAGTCCACAGTAACCTGTCGCGGAAGTGCCGAAGGCTGCTGAGGGGACTGTGAGGAGGACTGCGGGGAGGGAGACGCTACCTGACGCGCGACCGAGGGTAGAGGGGTAACGTGGGACACACCAGACGGGGCAGGACCAGGGGGGGGCGGGGGTACCGGAGGAGCGGGAGCAGGAGGAGGAGAGGGTGCGAGGAAAAGAGGGGGAGGGGGTACCGGGAGACCTCGATAGGGGTACCGGGTGTAGTAGGACACGGACTCGTCAAACCGGACGTCACGGGAGTCTAGGAAGTGGTGGAGGGGAGGGTGGTAAAAGGACCAGTCGGCAGAGTCCACTGGGAAACCAAGGAAGACACAGGGGACGGCGCGTGCCGAGAGCTTGTCCGCGGAGGTGTCGCGAACAAGTGCAAGGCAGCCCCAGACTCGAAAGGCCGACCCGACACCAGGGGAACCAGTCCAAAGACTGGTCGGTGAAACCTCGGGCCGCGAGACACGCGGCTGGAGGTTCAGCTGGTGTGCGGCGTAGCGAACCGCGTGGGGCCACAGAAAATGGGGCGCACGTGCATGGATCATGGACGTGCGGGCGATGTCCATGACCAAGCCTATGCGGCGCTCAGCAACCCCATTCTGCTGTGGGGACTCTGGCAGCGTCCAGGACTAGGTAATGCCCTGTTCGCCGCAGAATCCGCCGAGAATGCCGGAGCGAAACTCGCCCCCACGGTCGGAGTGGAGACAACTGACTCGACGACCACGAGTGCCCTCAGTGGCTAGAAGCCACCTGATCAGCGTAGCAGTCACCTCGGACTTCTTCGCAAGAGGGAACACTGTGGTGTACCTGGAGAAGTCGTCAACGACCACCAGAAAGTAACGCTCCCTCCCAGACCCCTGCGTCGGGGCAGGGCCCCAGACGTCCAAGTGGAGAGTCTCGAAGGGAGCGGTGGCCGGACGAAGGGAGGAGGAGTGGGGAGTGGCGCGTAAGCGACCGGCGACGCACGGAGAGCAAGGAGGGGCAAGCGAGAGAGGGAGCGACGGGAAGGTGCGTGGGAGACCTGAGATAAGTCCCTGACTGAGCATGCCACGTAGGCGAGGGAGCGACGGGTGGCCAAGGCGGTGGTGCCACAGGACGGTGCGGTGGGTGAGAGAGCGACAGGAGCAAGACGCAGCGACTGGACTGGGCACAGCGACCGGACCGGACACGACTACCTGGCTAGACACAGCAACTGGACTGGGGACCTGGGCCGGAGGGGACGCAACGACCTGAGGGGAGGACGCGACCGGGGAGCGCTCGGTGTGAAGAACGTAGAGACCGGAGCGGGGCTCCCTGGTGAACGTGGCCAGAACAGCACCTGTGGTAGCGTCTGTACAGACTGCAGTCCGCCCACCCCCCACGAAGGTAACCGTGATCCCCCTGTCCTGGAGGTATCCAACACCCACCAAGTTCCGAGTGAACGAGGGGATGTGGAGGCCGCGCAGGACACCAGAGGGGACCACAGGGCACGGGAGGGTGGTGGAGCTACGTGCAACGGCTGGTCCAGAGGTAGGATCAGCCAGAGCCACTGACACAGGAGTGAGGAGTGGCGTAAGGGTCGTGTGGTCGCGGAAGAAGCACTGAGACGCGCCCGAGTCCAGCGTGAACGACAAAGAGGCCTCAGCCGGAGGGTCACCTGACCCAGTCGCTACACAAGCACCTAGAGCAGCAACACAAGCACCTAAGCTAGACAGGCACAAGGCTACAATAGCAGGAGGCAAGCAGGCTAAACTACGAACACGCGAGCACACAGATCCCTCAGCACTAAAGTCAGCATCAACATACAAAGCATGCTGACGCGCATCGTCCATGGACAAATCAAAGACATCAATCTTACGGGTTAACAGACGAGACCAGCGAGGCGTGACCGCCAGGGGGCCCCAACGAGCCCGGTAGAGGTCGTCGAGGCGGCGGAAGCACCGCGCGGCAGAGTGGTCGTCGCGACCACAGAGACAGGGGCTGCCCGGCCCGGTGAGGCACCAGTGGGTGCAGGGGCCAGCGTCACGGCGAGGGGGGCGAGGGGCCCAGCCGGAAGAGCTGCTGCTGCGGCTGGTGCTCCCAGGGCCTCCGGGACCCCACTGCGGCGGGGGACCCCAGTGCTGCTGCGGACCCCACTGCAGCGGGGGCCCCCACTGCTGGAACTGCTGCAGTGCCTGCTGCTGCTGCTGTCCCTGCTGCTGCTGCTGTGGCTGCTGCTGCTGGGGGGCAGCACCCCCACCGGTCGGGCCACTACCTGTGGGTGGACCTGTCTGTCCTGCGCCTCCTCCTGGTGCACCACCGCCGCCGCCGCCGCCGCCGCCTCCACCACCACCGCCGCTCCCACCTCCACCGCCCCCTCCACCGCCACCTCCTCCGCCCCCACCTCCCCCCTTCCCGCCCTTCTTGCCACTCTTGCCCCGTTTCTGCCAGTCTGCGGCAGAAACGGCAGCGGTGTCCTCAGAGACCGACACAGCAGCAGAAGCGCGGGTAGCGGTGAAAGTGGGAAGCTGAGGGACGGCACACCCCGCAAAGAGACGGGGGGCCACCGCATCAGTGGCGGAGGCAACGGTGAGGAGGCTGCTCTCGATGGTCCCGAGAGCAGTCTGAAGGAGGTCTATAGTGAGTTCAGTGGGGTGCTTCTGAAGAAGCGCGTCGCGGGCAGTGGCAAGGCGGCCAGGGAGGCGGGTGACTAACCAGTGCACAGTGAGCCACATGGGGGGGGGAGCAACAAGGAGCTGTGCGTCGGTACAGGCCGAACGAAAACCGGCGTCAAGCGAGCGGAGGTGAGCACTAGGTCGGAAACAGTCGCAAACGAGCCTAGGTCGGGAAACACGAACGGCATGAGGAGGCGACTGAGGGAGGCGGAGGAGGGGGTGGAATAGCGAGCCACAATAGCATCCCAAACCCCCTTGGCTGTCTCCACCTGGTCAAAGTGAGCGGCCTCAGTCGGGGGGAGAAGCTCCGATAGCGTGAGGGCGGCGGCCGCGTCACGAGAGAGCCACACGTCCCGAGCCAGGACCCGTCGGTCGCAGTCCGCCTGGGCCGTAGGAGTCGGCTCCGGGGCGGTCGGCAGGGCGGCGAGGGACGGGGGTGCCGCGAGAGCACCCGACGCGTGGGCCCACAGAGTGGCGCCGTCCTGACGCTGGCTGGTGAGGAAACATGTGGTCTGGCGCTGCCAGGTACCGAACTCGATCGGGCGTCCCTCAGCATCGAAGCGGAGGCGACGGGCCTCCATAGCAGAGCCCATGCTAGAGGCGACTGGAGCACGGCGGAGGCGGAGCTAAGAACGAGGAGGAAAACTACGGAGGGCTAGGGACGCCAGCAGGGAAACCGACGAGAGACAGTCGGCGAGAAAATAGTCGTGGGGCGGGGCTCTAACCGAACCTAGGTGGCGCTACCGGAGGGAAGAGCGGCTGCCAGCCGCTGAGCCGGGAGCCAAGTGCAGTAGGAATGGCGTGGGACCGGTGCACAGGTGAAGGGGAGAGAGATGCAGTAAGCGCACAGAGTGATGCGGTAAGTGTACGCAGGTGTGCGGTAAGCGCACGCAGGTGTGCGGTGAGTGCACGCAGGTGTGTGGTAAGTGCACGCAGGTGTGTGGGAAGCGCACGCAGGTGTGCGGGAAGCGCACACAGAGTGATGCGGTAAGTGCACGCAGGTGTGCGGTAAGCGCACGCAGGTGTGCGGTAAGTGCACGCAGGTGTGCGGTAAGCGCACGCTGGTGTGCGGGAAGCGTTGACGGAGGAGGCCGCGCGACAGGCGGAGGGAGGGCACGCGACGCTCTAAGGAGGGCGCGCGACGGTAGAGGAGGGCGCGCGACGGTTGAGGAGGGCGCGCGACGGTCTAAGGAGGGCGCACGACGGTTCTGGAGGGCGCGCAACGGTGGGGGAGGGCGCGCGGAGGTCTAAGGAGGGCGCGCGACAGGCTGGACAGCGCGGGAGGGCGCGGGCTAGGCGCGAGGAGGGCGCGGAGGGCGCGGAGGGCGCGGAGGGCGCGGAGGGCGCGAGAGCACGGAGGGCGCGTAGGGCGCGGAGGCTAGCTAAAAACGAACGAGGATCTAACCTACTCGTGATACCATCTCAGAATAGGAATGCAACGGAATGTTTGAAACTAGAAAGTGTGAGAGTACAAATATGCAACCCTAACAACTGTTCTCCCTATTGTGCTACTCACTGTAGCCTACAAGCATAGAATTACATTTGACATTGGTTTCCAACCTTTCATACCACGCCTTCTTCATGTGATTTCTAGCACAACAGCTACACAGCAACACATCAAGATTCAAGACACACCATCACAACAAAACACAGCACCCGCCCTGCGCATTCGCAGCACCATCGTCCTTCCCCCCACCACTCGCAGCATCCGTCTTCCCTTCCCCAGCCTTCCCCTTTGCACCACCACCACCCCCCACCCCCTGTTCTTTCCTCGCAGCTTCCCCCGCTTCCTGTCGTTCCTTCCCTTTCCTTTCCGCGCCTCCTCCTCCTTCCTCGCTTTCTCCCGCTCCTTCTGCTCCCGCTCCTGCCGCTGCCTCTCCCTCACCGCCTCCTGCTTCCCCTCCCATTCCACCACAGCCTCTGCCGCCGCCTCACAGATCTCCAACAATGCCGGAATCACGTCCTCCGTCAGATCCGGCCGATCTCGGCGGTCCATTTCCGCGCACCAAAGGCCGAGATTCGCCAGATCCATCGCGAGATTCGTCGGCCACTCCCCAGCCCTTGGATCGAGCAGCACGGCCAGCTCCTCCCTTTCCACTGCCGCATCGATTCTCCTCGGGTTCGGGACATCCCGTCCCCATGACCAATGCTCCCCATGACCAATGCTCCCCATGACCAATGCTCCCCATGACCAATGCTCCCCATGACCAATGCTCCCCATGACCAATGCTCCCCATGTCCAATGCTCCCCATGACCAATGCTCCCCATGACCAATGCTCCCCATGTCCAATGCTCCCCATGTCCAATGCTCCCCATGACCAATGCTCCCCATGACCAATGCTCCCCATGTCCAATGCTCCCCATGACCAATGCTCCCCATGACCAATGCTCCCCATGTCCAATGCTCCCCATGTCCAATGCTCCCCATGACCAATGCTCCCCATGACCAATGCTCCCCATGTCCAATGCTCCCCATGTCCAATGCTCCCCATGTCCAATGCGCAGCAACCCGTGTGTCCTCCCCACGTTTGTTCCGCGCCTGTTTGAGGAAAATGCGTGTGCGCTTACCCATCCTGAACCCTAATCCCTTCCCATTCCCACCCATTCCCACCCATCCCCACCCATCCTCAAACCTCCTCACCCATCCTCAAACATCCTCACCCATCCCCACTCATCCCCACCCATGGGAAGCCATTTGTGAGAGCCCACGTGCAGGCCGCTTTGAGAGTGACCCCTGCCAGCATTGCCACCCTGCCAGCATTGCCACCCCTGCCAGTGCTGTATCGCGGGAAGCCGAGGAAGCCGAGGGCCACCAGCAGTGGGAGATGGAGGAAAGTGGCATGGATTGGGGCATGGCACGGTTGGGGTTAGAGCGATTTGGGAAGGAGTGATGGTGGGGCGAGGGTGATCGAGGAGTGGTGGTGGGAAATGAGCGGGAGGAACGGGCAGTGTGTGAACGCAAGCGTACGGCTAAAGAACTGAATGTGTGAGCGATTGACTTGAGTGAGAAAGCGCATCATGCCCTGCCCCCCATGCCCCCGATGCCCCCCATGCCCCCCATGCCCCCCATGCCCCCCATGCCCCCCATGCCCACCAGTCGGCCTGCTGCTGCCGGTCCCTGCCTCGCTCCCTCCCTCACCGTCGCTGCTGCTGATGCACGCGCCAGGAGGGCGACGAGTCGTGCAGGCAGAGTAGCAGGCGAGATGCTCCGGGATGGAACAACACTGGCTGAGGGGGAAGAGAGAAAGGGCGTGCAGATGGGCAAGGAGACAGGGGAATCAAAAAGGGACACAGGGGTGCAGAGAGGTTAAGCAAGGCACAGGGGTGCAGAGAGGTTAAGCAAGGCACAGGGGTGCAGAGAGGTTAAGCAAGGCACAGGGGTGCAGAGAGGTTAAGCAAGGCACATTGGCTGAGGGGGAAGAGAGAAAGGGGAGGAGTTGCTGAAATTTGGGGAGGCAGGGAAGAGAGGAGAGTGTGTAGGCGGACAGGAGGCCATGCTGTGTGACGGCTTCGAGCGGTTCAGGAAGGTTCGAAAAGGTTAAGAGCATTGCTTACCAGGGGGAGGGATTCAGTGTGGCTGGCGATGGTAGAGAGGGGAGGGATTCAGTGTGGGTGGCAATGGTAGAGAGGGAGACGCAGACCTTTCAAGGGTGCAAATGGGCAGGCAGACAGGGAAACTATAAAGGGACACAGGGGTGCAGATGGGCGGGGAGACAGGGGAATAAAAAAGGGACACAGGGGTGCAGAGAGGTTAAGCAAGGCACAGGGGTGCAGAGAGGCGTGGAGATGGTTGCAAAGGAGTTGTTGTGGAGATGCAAAATTCTAGCGCTTGTGCAGAGAGGCATAAGGACAGCACCGTCTTGTCTTGACGTCAGGTGATCCCAACAGAGAGATGACGGCAGTAATGCCGCCCGCATCTGCCAAGGCTGTAGCATGCAGCAGCAGCAACGAGTGGGGTGTCACGTCGGCACTGAGAGGGCTATCCGCGCCACAGCCTCGTCCTGCTATGAGGTATAAGGAAATGAAATATGGGGAGATGAGATATGTGGAGGTGAATTGCAAGGAAACATGAGGGCATGAGATATGGCGATAAGGAGAGATGGAAACACGGGAATGAGGGCATGAGATATGGGGTGAGATACGGAGATGTGAGATAAGGAGTTACTGCCATTCTGGCATGTGCTACGAGCCACTGACGCATGGACGCACCTGCAGGCATGTCACCAGCAACCGCACTGCACCCGTCTCAACCAACCCTCATCGCCATGTCACCGCTGTGCTTCGCCACGTGGCCCAATGCGCACGCAGCAGTCTCCCGCACTGCCAGCATGGCATCCGGAAGGCATTCCCGTCAGCAACGGCAGCACGCCCGCCTCTGCCAGCTAAGCGCCAGCGTGGCGCGGCACGGCCTTGACTAGATATGCTGCTGCGCGCTTGTGATGTCGATTGGTGCTGCTGGGGGGTAGAGGAAGAGAAGAAGAGGGAAAGACGAGGGAAGGCGACACGTTGCGCTGCACTAGGTGGTGCGACTACGTGTGCGACACATTCGCCAGGCGACCCAGCGACAGCATCGCAGGGGATTGCACGGACGCCATGCTGTCCTGCGCGAGCGGCGGCAGCAGCAGCTGCAGCGCTCCGAGCGACATCAGGTACTCCGCGTTCTGCGGGGGAAGAAACGCGGGCGAAACGCATTCGCCACAAACGTACCTCCCTGCTCTTGAGCATGCGCCAGTGTGCCCACCCGGGTGGGGAGCGTTCGGCAGCAGGGTGTGTGGCAGGGCAGGTAGCAGGGTGGTCATCATATGAACCAGGAGGCGTGTGTGGGGTGAGGTGAGGAGTCAGGAGAGGCAGGGCGGGCGGGGCGGCAGCACCTTGCCGGGGTTGAGGATGCCCTGTGGGTGCAGGGCGTCTTCACTGCCTGCATCGCCGCCACCGCCCCCGCCCCCACCTCCTTCTCCAGGTACTGTGTCTTGCCCACGCCCACCCCGTGCTCCCCCGTGCACGTGCCTGTTAGAAGTGAGGGGATGGGATGGGATGGGAGAGTGTGGTGAGGCAGGTGGGTGGGATGGGCGGATGGGGTAACGTGGAAGGGGTGTGATGCATAACGCACTAATGCCATGTGTGAAGCTGCCAGACGAGGGGAACGGTACAGGGAGGAGACGGTTGCTGCTCGCCATGACTCACATAAGCCACACCGCACCACCACCCCGCACCACCACACCGCACCACCACCCCGCACAGCCACACCGCACCACCACCCCGCACCGCCACACCGCACCACCACCCCGCACCGCCACACCGCACCACCACCCCGCACCGCCACACCGCACCACCACCCCGCACCACCACCCCGCACCGCCACCCCGCACCACCACACCGCACCACCACCCCGCACCGCCACCCCGCACCACCACCCCGCACCACCACACCGCACCACCACCCCGCACCGCCACCCCGCACCACCACACCGCACCACCACCCCGCACCGCCACCCCGCACCACCACCCCGCACCACCACACCGCACCACCACCCCGCACCGCCACACCGCACCACCACCCCGCACCACCACACCGCACCACCACACCGCACCACCACCCCGCACCGCCACCCCGCACCACCACCCCGCACCGCCACACCGCACCACCACCCCGCACCGCCACCCCGCACCACCACCCCGCACCGCCACACCGCACCACCACCCCGCACCACCACACCGCACCACCACCCCGCACCGCCACACCGCACCACCACCCCGCACCGCCACACCGCACCACCACCCCGCACCGCCACACCGCACCACCACCCCGCACCGCCACACCGCACCACCACCCCGCACCACCACACCGCACCACCACCCCGCACCGCCACACCGCACCACCACACCGCACCACCACCCCGCACCGCCACCCCGCACCACCACACCGCACCACCACCCCGCACCGCCACCCCGCACCACCACACCGCACCACCACCCCGCACCGCCACCCCGCACCACCACACCGCACCACCACCCCGCACCGCCACCCCGCACCACCACCCCGCACCACCACACCGCACCACCACCCCGCACCGCCACACCGCACCACCACCCCGCACCACCACACCGCACCACCACCCCGCACCGCCACCCCGCACCACCACCCCGCACCGCCACACCGCACCACCACCCCGCACCGCCACCCCGCACCACCACCCCGCACCGCCACACCGCACCACCACCCCGCACCACCACACCGCACCACCACCCCGCACCACCACACCGCACCACCACCCCGCACCGCCACACCGCACCACCACCCCGCACCGCCACACCGCACCACCACCCCGCACCGCCACACCGCACCACCACCCCGCACCACCACACCGCACCACCACCCCGCACCGCCACACCGCACCACCACACCGCACCACCACCCCGCACCGCCACCCCGCACCACCACACCGCACCACCACCCCGCACCGCCACCCCGCACCACCACCCCGCACCACCACACCGCACCACCACCCCGCACCGCCACACCGCACCACCACCCCGCACCACCACACCGCACCACCACCCCGCACCGCCACCCCGCACCACCACCCCGCACCGCCACACCGCACCACCACCCCGCACCGCCACACCGCACCGCCACCCCGCACCACCACACCGCACCACCACCCCGCACCACCACACCGCACCACCACACCGCACCGCCACCCCGCACCACCACACCGCACCGCCACCCCGCACCGCCACACCGCACCGCCACCCCGCACCACCACACCGCACCACCACACCGCACCACCACCCCGCACCGCCACCCCGCACCACCACCCCGCACCGCCACACCGCACCACCACCCCGCACCGCCACCCCGCACCACCACCCCGCACCGCCACACCGCACCACCACCCCGCACCGCCACCCCACACCACCACCCCGCACCACCACACCGCACCACCACCCCGCACCGCCACACCGCACCACCACCCCGCACCACCACACCGCACCACCACCCCGCACCGCCACCCCGCACCACCACCCCGCACCGCCACACCGCACCACCACCCCGCACCGCCACCCCGCACCACCACCCCGCACCGCCACACCGCACCACCACCCCGCACCACCACACCGCACCACCACCCCGCACCACCACACCGCACCACCACCCCGCACCGCCACACCGCACCACCACCCCGCACCGCCACACCGCACCACCACCCCGCACCACCACACCGCACCACCACCCCGCACCGCCACACCGCACCACCACCCCGCACCACCACACCGCACCACCACCCCGCACCGCCACACCGCACCACCACCCCGCACCACCACACCGCACCACCACCCCGCACCGCCACACCGCACCACCACCCCGCACCGCCACACCGCACCACCACCCCGCACCACCACACCGCACCACCACCCCGCACCGCCACACCGCACCACCACCCCGCACCACCACACCGCACCACCACCCCGCACCGCCACACCGCACCACCACCCCGCACCGCCACACCGCACCACCACCCCGCACCGCCACACCGCACCACCACCCCGCACCACCACACCGCACCACCACCCCGCACCGCCACACCGCACCACCACCCCGCACCACCACACCGCACCACCACCCCGCACCGCCACACCGCACCACCACCCCGCACCACCACACCGCACCACCACCCCGCACCGCCACACCGCACCACCACCCCGCACCGCCACACCGCACCACCACCCCGCACCACCACACCGCACCACCACCCCGCACCGCCACACCGCACCACCACCCCGCACCACCACACCGCACCACCACCCCGCACCGCCACACCGCACCACCACCCCGCACCGCCACACCGCACCACCACCCCGCACCATGCGCTGGTACGCAATGCAGCTGCTACCCTTCCTCCCTTTCCACCCCGTCCCTTTCACTCCCCCCCTTTCTCCCCATCACACCCACCATCCATGGCGAGCGCGCGGAGGGTGATGGCAGCGGAGAGCGCTTTGGCCTCTTTGGTCTCCTCATGACTGGTTGGGTCGAAGAAGATGCACACGAGGAAAATGCCGTCGCCCGCGTGCGCCAGCATGGGGCAGGGGAGGGACGAGCGCTGCACGTCGGCCGTTGTGGCGTCCATGCACGCCGCCAGGCGCGATGGCGGCACACACACGTCCTGCGCGCTCGGCAAGGGGTGAAGAAGTGGGGAGGGAGGGGTGAGGGAGGTGGGGGCAAGAGGAAGAAGGATGAAAAGAGGAAGAAAGAGAAAATGAGGAGGGAGCGAGTTGGCAACAAGGCTAGAACACATTTTGTAAAGGTGTAGACAGGGACGACAGGTACAGTGCACAAGCGCATGGCAGGCACGCACGGTGATGAGGGGCTCGGTGCCGGGGCGCAGGGAGTACAGCCCACAAGCGCAAGGCGGCCCACAGCGCCTCCTTCCGCGCGCGCCACAGCTCTTGCTTCTCCTCCTCGCCCTCCGCGATTCGCATCTCCTCCGCTGCGCCACCGCGCGCACCGCCGCCAGCTGCTGCTCCAGGTGCTGGGGGGTGTCGGCTATGACCTCGAGCATGAGCGTGGGGTGGTGCGGGTACGAGTACCCGTTGGCGCTGTTGAACGCGCCCACCATCACCTCGTCTAGCATCTCCACCCGCGAGGCCTGCGGTGGCGGGGTGAGCGGTGAGCAGCACGCGTGGGGCGGAAGGTTGCAACGCGGTGAGTGATGGTGGGGAGGCATGCATGCTCGCAACCGACCCACTACTCTCCTCCCCACTGCAATGTTCCCTCAATGTTCCACTGCAATGCCTCCTCGTCCGAACAGCCCCCTCACCTCACCACCCCCTTCCTCCCTCTCCTCATCACCCCTTCCCACCCGTCATCCCGCTCCCTCCCCACACCTGCACGCCGCTGTGAACGGTGGCGATGGCGGCGTCAGCAGCAGCGCGGATGGAGGGGAAGGGGCACATGGCGACGGCGGAGAGCGGTGGGATGCGGTGCAGGCGCACAGTGAGCTCTGTGATTATGCCCAGCATGCCCTCGGACCCCACCAGCAGCCGCGTCAGGTCGTACCCCGCCGCACTCTTGCGCGCCCTCGCTGCCGTTCGCACCACCTCGCCGTTCGTCAGCACTGCCTGCCGGGTGCGGGGTATGCAGTGTGGTGTGGTGTGTGGTGAGGGTGGGAGTGGGAGTGGGAAAAGGCAGAGAGAAAGGAGGGGTGGGGGTGGTGGGAGGAAGGGGGAGCAGTGGCAGTGGTGCCGGCAGGCTGGCAACAAGAGCATGCTCAAGTCCCACTGCATGAGGCTGTGAAAGCTCTCACACGCAGCGGCGCATGAAGCACTGTGCTCACCTGCCGCGCAGGCTGGCAACAAGAGGGTGGGAGTGGGATCACTGTGCTCATCTGCCGCGCGATGACGTTATCCCGCATGGTGCCGTAGCGCACGGCCAGCGACCCGCTGCAGCGCGTGGCAGCCATGACACCCAGCGTGGCACCGGGGCCGGGGTCTAGGGGGAAGAAGAAGAGGCCGAGCGGGGCGAAGCGCGCATTGAGGTCGCCCCACATCATGCCCGGCTGCACCACCGCATCCATGTCCCCCTCGTGCACTGCCAGCACTTGCTGAGGGTGGGTTGGCGGGGTGGGTGGGGGGCGGATGGGGGGAATGGCAGCAGGCACAGGGGGGGATTTGCGCTTTGAACGCCTCTCAGGCAATGCCCGGGTGCACCACCGCGTCCATGTCCCCTGCGTGCACTGCCAGCACTTGCTGGGAGTGGGTAATATGAGGGGGATGGCAGCAGAGGGGATGGGAGGGGTAGAGGGGGAGATTGGGATGGTGGTGGGCGGGCACATGTTCAGGCGCCTCAAAGGGGCACAGGGAATGGCGTGGCAACAACATGGAAGGTGACTGGAGTGTTGCGGTGATGGGGTGGCTGACAGCAGCAGGGAGCAGGAAGCGCAGTGAGGCAGTGCGGATGGCACGTGAGCACTCACGTTCATGCGAGTCATGTTCATGCTGACTCCCCCCATGAGCGTGGTGGTATGCCCCCCCAGGGACGTGCCTCCCCCATACGCCACCACCGGCACCCCATGCTGCGCACACACCCTCACCACCGCCGCCACCTGCTCTGTGCTCCTGATGCCATGCCATGCCATGCCATGCCATGCCATGCCATGCCATGCCATGCCATGCCATGCCATGCCATGCCACTCCACGCCATGCCATGCCGTGCCATGCCATCACACATGCCAGGAGAGGTTGAATGAAATGAGGGCGTGAAGTGGGGCATAAGGGGGGCACGAGGGAGCAACACGATACAGTAGCAGTGTGGGGCACGAGGGAGCAACACGATACAGTAGCAGTGTGGGGCACGAGGGAGCAACACGATACAGTAGCAGTGTGGGGCACGAGGAGGGCAGAGACGCCAGCAAGGCAGCAGGGTGGGGGAGTGTGACCTGGGGTACACCACAGCAGCAGGCAGGGCGGAGACGGGGTGCTAGCTGTTCCACGGCTTGGCGTGGCTCTGCCTCTCCTCCTCGCCCTCCTCCACGCCCTCCTCGCCCACCGCCGCCACCAGCCCCGCTCGCATCTCCGCGCTCAGCGCGCTCACCACCGCCGCGCGCTCTGCCACCCCCTCCTCCGATACTCCCCTCTTCTCCGCTTTCTCCCCCGCCTCCCCGTTCTCCGAGCTCAACGCCTCCTCCTCTTCTCCCTTCCGCGCGCTCGCCCCTGTTCTCGGGGTTCGAGGAAGTTGATGACATCCTCCGGGGTTCGCGGGAGCATGCTCCCGTGTCGGCGAGCTGGCGAATCGCAAAGAAGGATTTGAACGGCTCTCGGAGGCGCGAAATGCGGCAGGAACCTCACCCATCAACGCCATGATTTCGAAGATCAAATCTCGGATTCTAAGAGAAGCTGAGATTAAACAGCGAAAGAGACTGAGACTAAGGCGCACCTGAGGCGCACCTCAGGCAACTTCTATGACAAACTGCACGCGCGCGTCGCGGTACGCCTCCATTACCGCCACCACGGCTCGAGCAGCTTTGAACTGCGTGGGTGCTGGCAGCACTGCAGCCGCCGCCATAGCTAAATGCGTCAGATAATAATCACGCGATACACTAGAAGAACCAGCGAATACGGCGGGAGAACGAAAAGGATGCGGGAGAAGCGTAACCACCGCCGCGAGATCGGCAAGCACCTTTGGATGGTGATGAATCGTGATTCAGGAAGGAGTTGCTTACATATTTCCTAAGTCCTTGTTGCGAGCCTACGCTGTCGGTGAGGTCACCATTTCCCTCCCTTCTTCCTGATGAGTTCACGCTAGCTAAAACCTGTTTGCACAAGTTCTTCGCTCCAAGAATGTCAGCCATCGCGAAGCCTGAATCGTGACCGATAATCTTCGGCACAATAACCAGTGGGACAATCTTATCGGCACGATGTGCTGTACATCACAGCAATTGCTCCTTGTACATCGTGTAGCGGGTCACTGTATGGCGCGGAGGTGAGCTAATCCTTCGTCGGGTCGCATCACGTCAGCAAGATTTCCCCGTGCCGATGATTCCTCAGTCGTTGACAGCGAGGCAGCTTCGCACAACTTGCTCAGTTACGTGCTGATGGTTCCTTCGCCGCTTGTGCTGTTGTGACGTCAACAGTGATTTCCGTGCCTCCCCTTTCGCGCAAAATCGGCAACAGTGTTGTCAGGAGACGCGCTTCGGATGTGAAAAGTTTGTGGACGAACTGTCAAGAAGGCACTGTATCTCGACCATCGGGCCGAGGCCCGTGTCAAGCGCAGCCCTCCAGATGAGCTGCCAAGATTCGTTACTGTACATGCGTGTACAGTACTCTGGGCATCCAACCCATCCGTGCAGCGGTACAGTGTGAAGAAAATGCTCGCCTGCCTCAACACTGGCCTTTCACAAGCGGTTGGAAAAGTCGAAGCCAAAAGTTTTACGTGGGCAGCATGCTTGCAAGGGTCGCGGTACTGCTGGGAATGGGGGTGAATTTAGAGCAAATGAAAGGCACGGTTACTGTTCTTGGAAAAAAACCACACATCTTGACCAAAAGTTTTACCAACAAAAAGATGTTTCCGACCCACAGCAGGTGGTGGTGACCACCACATCTCACTGGATTGCTGAAACCCTAGTGCCTCTCGTCTCCTCCATCACAAGGGCTGCTCTCAGAGAGCCTCCTCACAAGAGAGCAGGACAGAGAAACGGCCGCGAAGTAAAGCGGCAGAAAAACGCCCGCGAAGTAGAATGACAGAAAATCGGCCGCGATTCGAGCGGCTGAACCAGTTCCCATAGATGCCCTCAGGACTAGTTTCTCACAATACAAAACATAGTGACTTTAGACCTCACAATCTATTGCACTACATCGACATCAGTTTCCAATACGCCAATCGTCCCTGGAGCTCCATCACCATTCGCCACCATCTCCACCATCAATCCACCTCCATTTTCAAACCACCCTCCGCCCAGCCTTCCTTCCAAGTTCCAGAGGTAGGCATTGGCTACCTTCCCTAGTTTGTTGAGTTTCGGTCGTTTAGCTCCGCTTCGTTTTGTTCAGATCTGAGTATATTTCTAACTAAGCCGTTTTAACCTTTGCAGGACATCAGGTGCAAGTCAAGAATGCTTCTGCTGCTCAAGAAGCAACTAATCCGCACCCGCTGAAGCTCCATCACCATTTGCCACCAACACCACTTTCGACCCACCATCAAACCGCCCTCCACCCCGCCCACCTCTTCAGCTCCAGAGGTAAGCATTGGCTACCTTCTTTAACTCATTGATTTTCGGTCGTTTTGCTGAACTTTGTTTTTCAGATCTGAGTATATCCTAACTAAGTGGTTTTAACCTTTGCAGGATATGAAGTGCAAGTCAAGAACGTGGCTTCTGCTCAAGAAGCTGCGAATTAAGCATCAACCTCTCCGCACCCACTGGATCTCCATCACCATTCGCTACCAACGTGACTTCCATTCGCCATCAACCCGCCATCAACCCGCCATCAACCCGCCATCAACCCGCCATCAACCCGCCATCAACCCGCCATCAACCCGCCATCAACCCGCCATCAACCCGCCATCAACCCGCCATCAACCCGCCATCAAACCGCCATCAAACCGCCCAGCCTCTCTCTCCAGCTCCAGAGGTAAGCTTTGGCTATTTTCCCAAGCTGATTGATTTTCGGCCGTTTTGCTTTAACTTCTTTTTCAGATCTGAGTTTTTTCTAACTAAGTTCTTTTAACCTTTGCAGGCAATCAAGTGCAAGTCAAGAACGTTGCTTCTGTTCAAGAAGCCGTGAAACAAGCATCAACCAGTCCACACCCGCTGGTGCTCCCATCACCGTTCAACACTTCAACGTTCTGCCGTTCTCCCGTTCAACTCTTCTCTCGTGTGGCGTGCAACGGGCGTCCGATAAAGGACGCGCGCGACTGCTTCGGCGCGACTGATCGGGAAGTGTCGTTCCCTTCCCTCCTCTCTCCTTTCACCGCTTGTTCCTTCGTTGTTTCGTTTCGCAATCCGCCACTCCGCCATTCGTGTTTTCAACGTTTTCCACCGTTCCTCTGACGCAAGGGCTGCAGCTAGGAGATGATCCTCCGCGGGTCGGGTTTTGGGTTTGGGTACCATAGTTTCTCCTCCCTCTTCTGGCTGCAGCCTACGCGTCATGAACGTTCCACCCTCGTTCTGTTCTTTCTTGTCGGTTTTTCGATTTCGTTTGTCTTCGTTTTTCATTTTCAGTTTCGCATTTCCTTTCGTCTTGTTCTTTTCTTGTCTTTTATCTTCTGTTCTCTTTACTAACTTCGTGCTCTTGTGCGTGTTTTCTCCCTGCTTTTCAGGTTTCATGACTTGCGCTTGCGGGGCTTCAATCGTGCCTTCTCCCATGACTTCAACACTTCTCCCGCGTGGCGTGCTACGGGCGATTTGACAAGGGACGCGCGCGACTGCTTCTCCGCCAACTCCAACAGATGGAAGTGTCGTTCCCTTCCCTTTCTCGTTCCTTTTACTGCTTTTCTGTTAATTGTTTCGTTTCGCAATCATCGCATCTCGCCACTCCGCCATTTGTGTTTTCCGACGTTTCACCGTTCCTCTGACGCAAGGGCTGCAATTAGGAGATGATCCTCCGCGGGTCGGGTTTTGGGTTTGGGTAGCATAGTTTCTCCTCCCTCTTCTGGTTGCAGCCTACGCGTCACGAACGTTCCACCCCCATACATTTTCGCATTCGTCGTTTTCTTCTGTTTTCGAATTCTCGGTTTCTGTTCACTAACTTCGTATATTATTATTTGTGTTTCTTTTCAGGAACAACGGATTCGTCGTAGCGGAGCTTCAGACGCGGAGGCAACAAGGCAGCGCATTTGCAGACGCGAAGGCAACAAGGCAGGAGACCTTCAGACGCGGAAGCAACAAGGCAGCGGAGCTTCAGACACGGAGGCAACAAGCAACACAGCAGACGACGCAGATCTTCAAAATTTGTTCAAGTAAGTCACATCTTTTGAACATTTCACTTACTTTCAGCCTTTCAGCCTTGTTATTTTATGCCATGATTCACGTTTGGCGTTTGACGCTTTACTAATCACGATATATGTGTTATGTGCAGGATGTAGCTGCAGATCAACCCCTTCGACAGCAGCGGACAACCCCCTTCGGCAGCAGCGGACAAACTCCTCGGCAGCAGCAGACAAACTCCTCGGCAGCAGCAGACAAACTCCGACTAACTCCTCGGCAGCAGCAGACAAACTCCTCGGTAGCAGCAGACAAACTCCTCGGCAGCAGCAGACAAACTCCTCGGCAGCAGCAGACAAACTCCTCGGCAGCAGCAGACAAACTCCTCGGCAGCAGCGGAAAATCCCTTCAGCAGCAGCGGAGAAACCCCTGGTAGCAGCGGAAAAACCCCTTCGGCAGCAGCGGAAACTCCCTTCGGCAGCAGCGGAAACCCCCTTCGGTAGCAGTGGAAACCCCCTTCGGCAGCAGCGGAAACCCCCTTCGGCAGCAGCGGAAACCCCCTTCGGCAGCAGCGGAAACCCCCTTCGGCAGTAGCGGAAACCCCCTTCGGCAGCAGCGGGAAACCCCTTCGGCAGCAGCGGGAAACTTCTTCGGCAGCAGCGGAAAACCCCTTCGGCAGCAGCGGAAAACCCCTTCGGCAGCAGCGGAAAACCCCTTCGGCAGCAGCGGAAAACCCCTTCGGCAGCAGCGGAAAACCCCTTCGGCGGCAGCGGAAAACCCCCTTCGGCAGCAGCGGAAACCCCCTTCGGCAGCAGCGGAAACCCCCTTCGGCAGCAGCGGAAACCCCCTTCGGCAGCAGCGGAAAACCCCTTCGGCAGCAGCGGAAAACCCCTTCGGCAGCATCGGAAAACCCCTTCGGCAGCAGCGGAAAACCCCTTCGTCAGCAGCGGAAAACCCCTTCACGGTAGCAGATGTAGCAGATGATAACCCCTTCACGACGCAGCTGATGTAGCAGGACAACGGTAGCAGGGCAACGGTAGCAGGGCAACGGTAGCAGGGCAACACCGACGACGCAGCAGTTGTAGCAGACCGCAGCCGCACAGAATCAGCCTAACTGAAACAGCCGCACAGAATCAGCCGCGATTCTGTGAAGGGAGGACACGGGGGGGGGGAAGCGGCTAAAACCTCTGGCAGAGCGGTGGCGAGGGGTTGACTGGGATGGTGGGCGGCGTGGAGAAACAAAAAGCAACTGAGTGTGCATGCTCAGGCCAAGAGGCTGTGGCATATGTTGCTCGGGAAGCTTCAAGGAAGTTGTGATGGAGTCTGGTCTTGACGAGTATGGTTCTGACTGCAGCAGAATCGTGCTCGCAGGATACCACACACTCCAGGTAGCAACTCCCTTGGGGTGCCTCGGGCGACACAAGTTTTTCCTCACTGGCGTGGGTGAGGAAAACTTGATGTCACGGGCTTTTCCACACTGACGTGGGTGTGGAGGGTCCTTTCCTCTAGGTGTTTTTTGAGTCTTACGCCTCTTACCGAACAGTCATCTCCTCAATACTGGAATGCTGAGGACTGGGGAGGCTGTTAAGGAAGCCGCCAGAAGTTGCTAACGAAGGTACTGAGTGTTGCAAAGGAAGATTTTAAGGTCTGCAGCCTTAGGGAAGAAGGGGTGGAGTAGCAGAGAAGGTGTGAAGCAGCAGAAAAGGGGTGGAGCAACAGAAAAGGGGTGGAGCAACAGAAAAGGGGTAAAGTAGCCGAAAAAGGGTGAAGCAGAGAAAGGGGTGCAAAGCAGAGAAAGGGGTGCGAAGCAGAGAAGGGTGCGAAGCAGAGAAAGGGGTGTGAAGCAGAGAAAGGGGTGTGAAGCAGAGAAAGGGGTGTGAAGCAGAGAAAGGGGTGTGAAGCAGAGAAAGGGGTGTGAAGCAGAGAAAGGGGTGTGAAGCAGAGAAAGGGGTGTGAAGCAGAGAAAGGGGTGTGAAGAAGCAGAGAAGAAGAAGAGAAGGAAGGGGAGAAGAAGCAGAGAAGGGGGAAGAAGCAGAGAAGGGGGAAGAAGCAGAGAAGGGGGAAGAAGCAGAGAAGGGGGAAGAAGCAGAGAAGGGGGAAGAAGCAGAGAAGGGGGAAGAAGCAGAGAAGGAAGGGGAGAAGAAGAGAAGGGGGAAGAAGCAGAGAAGGGGGAAGAAGCAGAGAAGGGGTGTGAAGAAGCAGAGAAGGGGGAAGAAGCAGAGAAGGGGGAAGAAGCAGAGAAGGGGGAAGAAGCAGAGAAGGGGGAAGAAGCAGAGAAGGGGGAAGAAGCAGAGAAGGGGGAAGAAGCAGAGAAGGAGTGTGAAGAAGCAGAGAAGGGGTGTGAAGAAGCAGAGTAGGGGGAAGCAGCAGAGAAGGGGTGTGAAGCAGCAGAGAAGGGGTGTGAAGCAGCAGAGAAGGGGTGTGAAGCAGCAGAGAAGGGGTGTGAAGCAGCAGAGAAGGGGTGTGAAGCAGAGAGGGGTGTGAAGCAGAGAGGGGTGTGAAGCAGAGAAGGGGTGTGAAGCAGAGAAGGGGTGTGAAGAAGCAGAGAAGGGGTGTGAAGAAGCAGAGTAGGGGGAAGCAGCAGAGAAGGGGTGTGAAGCAGCAGAGAAGGGGTGTGAAGCAGCAGAGAAGGGGTGTGAAGCAGCAGAGAAGGGGTGTGAAGCAGCAGAGAAGGGGTGTGAAGCAGAGAAGGGGTGTGAAGCAGAGAAGGGGTGTGAAGCAGAGAAGGGGTGTGAAGCAGAGAAGGGGTGTGAAGCAGAGAAGGGGTGTGAAGCAGAGAAGGGGTGTGAAGCAGAGAAGGGGTGTGAAGCAGAGAAGGGGTGTGAAGCAGAGAAGGGGTGTGAAGCAGCAGAGAAGGGGTGTGAAGCAGCAGAGAAGGGGGTGAAGCAGAGAGAAGGGGTGAAGGAGAGAAGCAGAAAAGTAGAGAAGGGGTGCGAAGCAGAGAAAGCAGAGAAGGGGTGTGAAGCAGAGAAAGCAGAGAAGGGGTGTGAAGCAGAGAAAGCAGAGAAGGGGTGTGAAGCAGAGAAAGCAGAGAAGGGGTGTGAAGCAGAGAAAGCAGAGAAGGGGTGTGAAGCAGAGAAAGCAGAGAAGGGGTGTGAAGCAGAGAAGGAAGGGGAGAAGAAGAGAAGGAAGGGGAGAAGAAGAGAAGGAAGGGGAGAAGAAGAGAAGGAAGGGGAGAAGGCAGCTGTAGTGCGTTGGGTGAAGACAACAAAGGTGCTGTTACTCGCTGCTGTGCTCCTTTTGTTCTTTGCAGGGTACATCTGTTGTGGGTGATGTTGTGCTGAGTAGCTGGTTGTATTTATCATTTCTATTTATTGGATCATCATTTGAGATGTCAATACACTGTACCTTTCTGGAAAGGGTGTATGATTGCATAAAAAAAGAATACGATTGCATTGCAGTTGTTATGGGTATTATTAGGAACATATACACTCACAATCTATCCTGACAATTGCATTGTTGCTGCGGGAATTGTTGGGAACTATTAAACTTGTGGGAGCAGATTAACGAGCATGCTGCTTACGCTCTGCTCCTTGACACAAGCCATGGGCAACACACGGCACCCACAAGCGACACACCGGTCAGGAACGCCTGCAACTATGCCACTGCGCCACTACTCCACACGCACATCATCCCCCACATGCTGCTCTCCCCCGCTGCACACCTGCGAGGCCTTTCAGCTTCCTGAGCAGCCCTCTCCCCTCATGATCCGCCCTTAGGAGGGAGCAAGCATCTCAGCACGTCGCAGCATGGCCCCTATGAGCATTTTGTATCAGGCCACTTCACCGCAGCCCCACATGGTCTCCCCTGCCTGAATTGCCTGCCTCACGCCCTCTACGTGCCCCTCCGCTTTGAGTGCCTCCATTAACCCGCGCAGCGTGCGCCGCTTGATGGGTGCATGGAGGGGTGTGAGCCGTGGTGGAGAGGGGGCGGTGAGAGGAGAGGGCGCCACGAGGAGAGGCGGGAGGAGACATGCGCCGAAGCACAGACTCAGGCAGGGATTTGGGATGAAGAGGAGTGCTTGGTGAGTTGGTAGTGGCAGGAGGAGGAGGATCAACGGTTACAGGGGTCTCAGGAGTGGTGACGAGTTGAGTGAGGAGAGCGGTGGCATGGGAGAGGCGCTGCGAGCGAGAGAGGCAGGAGAGGAGAAGGGAGAGAGTGGCCGTGCCGCACGGAATGTTCGCCCTGCGCATGTCATCAACCAATCGCAGCGCAGTGTCTGGCATGTTTGCTCGCGTGTACCCCTTGAGAAGCGCGTTACAGGCATCAAGATCAAGGCGACGGGTGCAGGCATGCAGAGAGGAAAACGCCTCTTCTGCCATAGCTATGTCACAAGCTGCCACATGTGCTGCTATGCGCGCCACATGCATGGGTCGAGTCACCCGCAACCCCATCTCGACCACCCTCCTCCACATCTCTTCCACCTCCCCCCCACGCCCCCCCTTCCCCGCGCGCCCCATGACCATCCACAGGGCTGCACAAGCAGCAGGGGATGGAGCTAAGCCATCCCCCAGCATGGCATGAAAAGTTGAAGGCGAGAAGGGCGTCGAGGCGGTGGGGAGCGGACGAGGGACGGGGTGATGGCGGTGGCGGTGGCGGTGGCGGTGGCGGTGGCGGTGGCGCGGCAGAATGTGGAAGGAGAAGAGGGGCGGGGTGATGGCCTGCAGACACAGGCATGTGCATGGGGTAGGGACGCGGGTGCATTGACCATAACTCCCGCTCCCGGCCAGCAGCATTGACCATAACTCCCGCTCCCGGCCAGCAGCATTGACCATAACTCCCGCTCCCGGCCAGCAGCATTGACCATAACTCCCGCTCCCGGCCAGCAGCATTGACCATAACTCCCGCTCCCGGCCAGCAGCATTGACCATAACTCCCGCTCCCGGCCAGCAGCATTGACCATAACTCCCGCTCCCGGCCAGCAGCATTGACCATAACTCCCGCTCCCGGCCAGCAGCATTGACCATAACTCCCGCTCCCGGCCAGCAGCATTGACCATAACTCCCGCTCCCGGCCAGCAGCATTGACCATAACTCCCGCTCCCGGCCAGCAGCATTGACCATAACTCCCGCTCCCGGCCAGCAGCATTGACCATAACTCCCGCTCCCGGCCAGCAGCATTGACCATAACTCCCGCTCCCGGCCAGCAGCATTGACCATAACTCCCGCTCCCGGCCAGCAGCATTGACCATAACTCCCGCTCCCGGCCAGCAGCATTGACCATAACTCCCGCTCCCGGCCAGCAGCATTGACCATAACTCCCGCTCCCGGCCAGCAGCATTGACCATAACTCCCGCTCCCGGCCAGCAGCATTGACCATAACTCCCGCTCCCGGCCAGCAGCATTGACCATAACTCCCGCTCCCGGCCAGCAGCATTGACCATAACTCCCGCTCCCGGCCAGCAGCATTGACCATAACTCCCGCTCCCGGCCAGCAGCATTGACCATAACTCCCGCTCCCGGCCAGCAGCATTGACCATAACTCCCGCTCCCGGCCAGCAGCATTGACCATAACTCCCGCTCCCGGCCAGCAGCATTGACCATAACTCCCGCTCCCGGCCAGCAGCATTGACCATAACTCCCGCTCCCGGCCAGCAGCATTGACCATAACTCCCGCTCCCGGCCAGCAGCATTGACCATAACTCCCGCTCCCGGCCAGCAGCATTGACCATAACTCCCGCTCCCGGCCAGCAGCACTGACCATAACTCCCGCTCCCGGCCAGCAGCACTGACCATAACTCCCGCTCCCGGCCAGCAGCATTGACCATAACTCCCGCTCCCGGCCAGCAGCATTGACCATAACTCCCGCTCCCGGCCAGCAGCACTGACCATAACTCCCGCTCCCGGCCAGCAGCATTGACCATAACTCCCGCTCCCGGCCAGCAGCATTGACCATAACTCCCGCTCCCGGCCAGCAGCATTGACCATAACTCCCGCTCCCGGCCAGCAGCATTGACCATAACTCCCGCTCCCGGCCAGCAGCATTGACCATAACTCCCGCTCCCGGCCAGCAGCATTGACCATAACTCCCGCTCCCGGCCAGCAGCATTGACCATAACTCCCGCTCCCGGCCAGCAGCATTGACCATAACTCCCGCTCCCGGCCAGCAGCATTGACCATAACTCCCGCTCCCGGCCAGCAGCATTGACCATAACTCCCGCTCCCGGCCAGCAGCATTGACCATAACTCCCGCTCCCGGCCAGCAGCATTGACCATAACTCCCGCTCCCGGCCAGCAGCATTGACCATAACTCCCGCTCCCGGCCAGCAGCATTGACCATAACTCCCGCTCCCGGCCAGCAGCATTGACCATAACTCCCGCTCCCGGCCAGCAGCATTGACCATAACTCCCGCTCCCGGCCAGCAGCATTGACCATAACTCCCGCTCCCGGCCAGCAGCATTGACCATAACTCCCGCTCCCGGCCAGCAGCATTGACCATAACTCCCGCTCCCGGCCAGCAGCATTGACCATAACTCCCGCTCCCGGCCAGCAGCATTGACCATAACTCCCGCTCCCGGCCAGCAGCATTGACCATAACTCCCGCTCCCGGCCAGCAGCATTGACCATAACTCCCGCTCCCGGCCAGCAGCATTGACCATAACTCCCGCTCCCGGCCAGCAGCATTGACCATAACTCCCGCTCCCGGCCAGCAGCATTGACCATAACTCCCGCTCCCGGCCAGCAGCATTGACCATAACTCCCGCTCCCGGCCAGCAGCATTGACCATAACTCCCGCTCCCGGCCAGCAGCATTGACCATAACTCCCGCTCCCGGCCAGCAGCATTGACCATAACTCCCGCTCCCGCATTGACCATAACTCCCGCTCCCGGCCAGCAGCATTGACCATAACTCCCGCTCCCGGCCAGCAGCATTGACCATAACTCCCGCTCCCGGCCAGCAGCATTGACCATAACTCCCGCTCCCGGCCAGCAGCATTGACCATAACTCCCGCTCCCGGCCAGCAGCATTGACCATAACTCCCGCTCCCGGCCAGCAGCATTGACCATAACTCCCGCTCCCGGCCAGCAGCATTGACCATAACTCCCGCTCCCGGCCAGCAGCATTGACCATAACTCCCGCTCCCGGCCAGCAGCATTGACCATAACTCCCGCTCCCGGCCAGCAGCATTGACCATAACTCCCGCTCCCGGCCAGCAGCATTGACCATAACTCCCGCTCCCGGCCAGCAGCATTGACCATAACTCCCGCTCCCGGCCAGCAGCATTGACCATAACTCCCGCTCCCGGCCAGCAGCATTGACCATAACTCCCGCTCCCGGCCAGCAGCATTGACCATAACTCCCGCTCCCGGCCAGCAGCATTGACCATAACTCCCGCTCCCGGCCAGCAGCATTGACCATAACTCCCGCTCCCGGCCAGCAGCATTGACCATAACTCCCGCTCCCGGCCAGCAGCATTGACCATAACTCCCGCTCCCGGCCAGCAGCATTGACCATAACTCCCGCTCCCGGCCAGCAGCATTGACCATAACTCCCGCTCCCGGCCAGCAGCATTGACCATAACTCCCGCTCCCGGCCAGCAGCATTGACCATAACTCCCGCTCCCGGCCAGCAGCATTGACCATAACTCCCGCTCCCGGCCAGCAGCATTGACCATAACTCCCGCTCCCGGCCAGCAGCATTGACCAGCATTGACCAGCGCTGACCAGCGTTGACCAGTGTTGACCAGTGTTGACCAGTGTTGACCCCGCCCTTCCATCACATCCTCACCATCCCCATTTTCAACCACCCTCGCACCTTTCCCCTCATGAACCCCGACTCTCCCTCACATCCCGCACCCCCACTGCTCACCCTCACATCCCGCACCCCCACTGCTCACCCTCACATCCTGCACCCCCACTGCTCACCCTCACATCCCGCACCCCCACTGCTCACCTTCACCCCCCTCATGCTCCCTCTCATCTCTTCCACAACATCATCCATCCTCTGTGTCACTGAATGAGCAGCGGCGAGGGCGAGATGGCAGGGCGGAGAGGGCGAGCAGGCGCGCGTTGAAGAAGAGACTGCTGGTACAACACTCCACACCCATCGCTGCTGCCCCTGCTGCCTGCTGCAGCCACTGCAGCTCCTCCTGCATCCTGTTGTGCTGGCCTGTACTCCACTGTATGCCTGACAAGGATTGTCAGGAGGGAGAGGAAATGGGTGGGTAAGAGAGGGGATGCGAGGCACTCCACTGAGCAGCAGAGGTCAGACACGGCAGCTGGTACAAACAGACACTCCACTGTATGCCTGACGAGGACAGAGAAGAGGGAGAGATAAAGCATGAACAAAGAAGGGGGATTTGCGGAGTATGACGGTGCAATGCGCATGATCAGAATCGCATGTCATGTCATGAAATGAACGAACACGCACAGCAGCAGCAGCAGCAGCATCACGGTGAGGGCATGCGGAGCACCTATTGAGAGCGGGAGTGACGCGGCAGGGCGAGGAAGGCATCTCTGGCGTCTCTCCATCGGCCGCAGCGAGCCAGGCAGTCTATCAGCCCACACGGGTCCTCCCACTCCGGGTCCTCCCTCTCCACGTCCGTGGCGCCTGATTGGCTCTCTCGCTCATGCTGACGTGGACTGTGTGCCGCGCAGTGTGGGGGGAGGCGGGCCATGTGCCATTGGAGCAGCTGATGGGGGAAGAGGGGTAGGGAGGGCAAGCGGGGATAGTGAGGAGCGGATTCACAAGAATGAGCGACAGAAGCGATCTGTGAGGTGCAAAGTTGATGACTACCCGCATAGCGGTCCCATGCAACCAGAATGCTCTCGAGGTGATGTCACCCATGCTCATGGTGACTCAACGCGTCAATAAATCTGATGCATGGTGCGTAGGTGCATGCATGTAAGCAAGCATGGGAGCATGCAGGCTGGCATCACCCCGAGAGCATGCTGGTGCCTCTCCTTTAATCTCCGCACCAGCAGCATCACCAGTCGTCGGTCCAACATGCATGCTCTCTGGTGGTGCCGTTGATGTGACTCGCACTGCCATGGCTCGCTTGCACAGCAATGGTGGGATTGGTGGGATGGGAGGGAGTTGCGAGAGAGAAGCGGTTCGGTGGGAGGCGACAGGAGAGGAGGCGAGGCATGAGAGGGAGAGAGGGGGGCTGGTGGCGGATAAATGACCACACCCGCTCCAGGCGCTCTGCTTCCTCCCTGCTCACACTCCCTCTACCGCATCTGTCACTCTCCTGCCCTGTCTCTTCATCATGCTCCCAGTCACTGTCACTGGCATCACCACCACTGTCAGCACAGTGATCATCTCTTTCCCCCATCTGCCCCACTGATCGTTCAAGTGCCAGTTCGGGACCAAGCCCTGGCTCCCACTCCCGTATCCCATCCTCCCGCCCTCTGCTGCGTAGAAATCGTTGAATCAGTCATTCCTTCTCTCCTACTTGCACTCTCTCTCTCCTACTCTGTCCAATCGTCCAACCAGCACGTCCGTTTCCTGGAAGCTTCTGTGGCTGTGACGCTTCCACGAGCGTGTGATGCGAGTGGTGTGAGTGTAAGCGTACAAG